GAATTTCAAATAGAAACTTGAGTTTGGAGAGCCAGCAGTTAGGAAAACAACCTCAGCTTGTGCTCAATAGAACACAAGTATGCTTTACTCAACAAAGAAACATCTATTTATTTTCTAGCAACAGAGATTTTTTTGTGTGTACTTCCTCCTCAGCTTGTCAAAGCGTATTACTCAACATAGTAAACGTGGGATTAGTTGCACTGCTGCATAATCTAAATTCATCTGATTATAGATTTATGGGTGCTGATTGTTTGTTTCATAACTCTTTAGTGAAGGTTTACAACAGTAACTCGGGGAGCTCAAACAAGAGTCCAGCATAGACAGATTTGTGAAGGAATGAGAGATCTGGCTGTGCCTTCTCACACAAAGGCAGAGTGGAGCCCAGAGGGCACTAGGGGTTCTGGAAATAGTGATAGAGATATTGCACGCTGTAAAAGTTGGCTCAGTCATTTGTCAGGGCAGAGGAAGAGCTGAATTGTTGCCTGAATAGAAACAACAGAGGGATCCCTTTCCTCATGCAAATGGTATCAATTTAAGTAAAATTGATGCAAAAAGCCAATGCAGTTAAATCTGCGCAAACCACAATGAGATACATTCATTGTCTGAAAATCACATAAGATGTTTAGTTTTTATGTACAAATTTACCAAACCTGATACATTCCAGTTTAAGAGAATCTGCATGGAATTCTGCCATTTAAGAACAGCCATTTGGTTACTTCAGTTAAAATTTCTTCTAGATAGGGCCTAGACAGAATAGGCCCTGGGATATTGGTGCAAGTACACCCCAACAAGACAGCATTTCATATCATTCAGTGACCTCTCTGCTTTGTGCTATGTAGCAGTGTAGCAGTCTCCTATAGTGCCACTATGAAGCTCAACTAGCCTCAAATCTATGACTTAGGAAAAAGAGGGTTTGTATAATATTCCCCATTCTTCAAGATTGTCAAAATCCTTAGTTTTCTACTGATTACAACACCACAGACTAAGAATTATCAACATGGTGAAGTGCAATGTTATTCATCAGAGAACACCTGGATTCAAGAAATAGGAGTAACGAGATTTAGATACTTGAGGACAATTGTATATGCTGGAAAAAAGAAAAGCTGCACTTAGCACTCACTAGAATGGATGAACTGCTGAGTTTGCTTCTTTTACTCTTTGATTTATCTTGCCCAGGACAATTTTTCTTTGGTTGTATCTTCATTTTGCTGTCCCTTTGCATAGGCATCTCGCTGATCCTGTCTCCTGGGAAACATAACTTCATCCTGCAAAAATGAAGAGTACCTTCCTGACCACCAGCCAGAAATGAAGCTGTATGCAATATTATCTCTCTCCTTTTGAGGATGTTGCATGTCATTGACAAGCTCTACTGTTGGCATCTTCTTATGCAGATTTTATGTGGGTAATCTGTCATGTTTGTTCCCACTTAGTGGCCCCAGTGAGCCTTGTCAACAAGCATCAGGTGAGGAGAATTTCTAATGCTGGTGGTAGGTGGGGTGAAGTCTAATGCTTGGTTTCAAAATGAAGCACAGCAGTACAGAGCACTAAGAAGCCAGCCATGGGGATTAACTGCCAGGTGTCCATCACCTGCATCCTTGGTTTAAGGAAGAAGTAAAACATAACTTCTTTGTAAGATTGTCTCTAAGTGCCCTTTCTTGGGAAAAAATTTAGCTTCATGGTTATTAGAAATGAAGAACTGTTGTTGTTCTTCTTCCTCAGGTTGCTGTGCAGTCCAGACTGATATACAAATGGCAGTGTCTCCAGGAGCCTTTCAGAGATACAAAGCATGTGGGTAGAGAAGAGAAATAGTAGGCCTGCAAGGTGATCGGTTTGGTTGTCAGGATTGCAGGATACTGTCACATCCCACGGCATCAGATGGCAAGTAATTTTAGTGTCATCCTTCCCATATATAAAAGTAGTTATTAATCAGTATCCCAGTTCACCTTTTACAGAGTACCTGAGCTGGCATTAAGCAGGAGTGACAGATAGACAGAAAAGGTCACACAGCATGGCTGGAGAGCATGCCATGTTCTACTGACAGGGGTGTTCATGTACTGCAGTGCTTAATATTTGCCATGGGTGAGGAGGGGTCAGGAGCTGTGCATCATCTGGATGGAAGGATTTACTGTTTACCTTTACAGATTTGCCACTTACTGGACCAGCATCTCAGCAGCCCTGCTGAAAATGCAGTGTGCTCAATGCAACTTTCAGATGAAGGTCAGTCATATTCTCCCTCTCATACTGAATGTGCTCAGTGGTTTTGTGCAGGAAATAAGTTTCTTTGTCTAGATCACAGAATTCTCTTCCCTGTTAACTGATTACCAAAAATATACACATTTTCTTAGGAAGGGATTTTCGTTGGAGAGGGATGATTGCCAGTTACATAAGCATCCATCATTTGGCTCTGGTGGGGCTTGTGTGGGGCATGAGCCTGTGGCAGAATTGCCCCCAGGCCCATTGTCAACACAGCAGTTAAGATCTAACTTGAAATATGTTTGTATTTCTGCTTACATTTTTGCTTAGTCTTGATCCTCCCTTATTTCTCTTGTTTATGTGATCAGCCTCCTAAGTTACTTGTTAACGGCAAGTGAAAATATTTTGTGCTGAGTAGGGGGAAAGGGAGTAGAAGAAATTACAGGCTTACATTATGAAGCCTTAATGACCTTAATCACTGGAATATAATCATAAAGGAAAAATGCTTGTAACTAAGAGGCCGCTTTCCCAGAAAGCCCCACTCCCAGAGGCATCCTTCTTTTATACAAAAATAGAGCTGTGGTCTGGGGTTTCTTGGCAATGTAAGGAAACACTGTACACTTTCAGATTCTCCTTTGGTTCTCATCACTCATAAAATCCAGATGAAGTAAGGAATTTGGTTGCCTTCAAACCATTTCTTTAGGCCCTGATGCAAGGAATGCTTCAAAGAACAGAATAGCGAAGGACAAAGCATCAGTGGGAAAGATTCACTTGCTTTTTCTGTGCCAGTAACCAACAGAGACTCCATTACAGCCCAGAAAATGACCATTTGATTTTCAAGCAGGGCTGATGTGGGAACAATACTATTTCAGCAAGTTCGTGAATTGTGCCCACAAAAACATGACTGAGTAAATTGAAAGCTTGTTATCAGCTCTGCTGAATGCTGATTTCAGAAAGGGAGAAATTCAGTCAATATGAGGAACCTCACTTATGATAGCAGTAAAAGCTGGGCAGAAGTTTTAAATGAAGAAAGTTGTCTTGCTATCAATGTAAGAAAAAATCTCTTTAGAATTGCAGACTCTTAAAAATATAAAATAGTAAAAACAAAAATTGCCAAAATCAAGTCAATTTCTCCAGCAAGCAACTAAGAGTGTCAAAGCAAGTGACACTTGAAGTGAATATGAGCTTTTGGATCACATGTGCTTTTCTCAAGGTTGATAACCCAGGAAGCTTAACCATATATGGTTGGACAGGTTTTTATAATCGCCTCCACCCTCTGGTCAATATATTCTTCTGTTTCACTGTAGGTCATCCTCATTTCCTCCTCACTGAGTACAGCTGGTGGATTACTATGCGAACTATACCACACAGAAGACTTTACTCTGTCTTCTAGCATGGAGACCCTCTGGCGCTTGCAATACACTTTGATTTTATTCTGTATTTCAGTGCCGAATACTACAGGGTAAGTAGCACAGTACTGAATTCAGCTTAATTCAGGAAGAATGATAATTATCCTTCCTTCACTTTTTATATGTGGAATGTTTCTTCCCTTTTTCAATGTGGAATATTGTACAACTGAACCACGTCATTGAAAAAAAAGAAGAAATAATTTAAACTTTTAATTTAGTTGAATAATTTAATTTTGCCTAATTCTGCACTGGCTCCTGTCTGTGTGAAAAACCTGTAACGTGGATTCTTAATGGCACATCTGAAGAGGAGAGATCTTGACAGAATAACCACAGTAGTTACAGAACACTAGAATATATCTAGACTAACCTTTGGCTTAGGACTTACCTGATTTATAACAATTAAAAATAGCACTGAATAGAGATGAGTGGCAACTTGTCACAGCTTTCCCTTTTTCATGAGAGAAGAGATCCAAGAAGGAACAGTGAAGAAAATTTTCTTACTTTATCTCTCTTTCCATATTTTCTTTCCTCCTTAGCCTTAGCTTGGTCAGTTCTCCAGTTGCTTGCTGCATTTCACTGATGAATTGATTGTGTGATATTTGCTCCTAATCTCCCTAGTTTCTCTGAATATCATTGCTTGGATTTTGAAGGGCAGTGGGGCCATTCACTGTGATGCATTCACTTAAGGGCAGATTCTATATACTGTGTCAAGTACAATAAGAACAATTAAGGAGACACCACAGAGGTTAGAACTGAACCCTTCCTCCAGAAACTGTGGGCCACTGTCAGAGTATGTCAAGAACTACTATGGCAGCCTTGCAGTCCCTATACAAAACACCCAAAGAGCAGAGCTATTTATGCTGTGATCTGTGGTGGGATTTTGGTCTTGTGTCAAATCATCTCTGTGGAGCGTATAGCACCACAAGGAATGTACATTTGTAACTGCTTTTGTTCTGCAGCATTTTCAGAGTTAATTCGAAGAGCTGAATGAGGTGACTCTCAGTGTCATGAGAGTCTTGCAGGAATTAAAAGAAATACGTAGCCTTCCAACAAATAACAGAGTTACATATACACTAGTTTACAGGCATTTATCCACTTTGCAACAGCAGGGATGACAATGCCACGAGCAAGTCCTTGCTCTTATCCTACTACTGTCTGAGCTGAGCTGCATCCATCCATCCCTTATGTAGCTCCCTGTACCAGAACTGATCTCCTTTCAGTTCAGTGGGATTACAAAGCAAACAGTTCCTCCACATGAGATGAAATGAACATATTCCACCTTTGACTCACTCTCTGAGCTTCATCATGAAGGAGTAAGTATGTGTGAGAAGAGAAAGAGTCAGACATGGACCTTGATCTATTCAGTTATTCAGTGAAACACCCAAAGACATACATTGAGGTCCCAGCATTCTTTCTTAAATAGTTTTTGAGTCATTAATTCCACAAGGGCTTCACTGTGTTGTTTTTCTTGGCAGGATCAAGCAAAGACCAACTGGTGGCTTGAGAGCATGGGATCCTGAAACAGGTAACTGCATGTCATGAGTGCTGTTAACATCCAGGCAGATTTTGACCATACTAGCTGCTCTTCCTTACTTTGATGTGGTGTATTTCAGCTTACCTCACCAGATGTGATTTTAACAACAACTCAAGACCATTTTGTGACTGGACCCAGCCTTGCAGTCCCAACCAGGGATTGTGGATACGAACCAAGCATGATACTCCGACTGATGGAACGGGTCCTGATGGAGACTATCCTGACGGAAGTAAGTGCTCAGATATGGCGTTGTTGATTTCCTTATGACTATCTTTATTTTCTTTCTTTGAAAAAGAGATTCATGAAACCCCTTGCAATGTGCCAGTTTTGTTTCATGCTGACACCTGTCTTTGACCTTTCACTGTCAGTTACAAGTAAATTAAACTGAGTTGGAAAACTTTATCAGTGTGTGAAAGTAGAAGTAACCTAGTTATGTCATGGTTAAGGCCTCACAGAAAATGCAGTGATGTGCAACAGATTCAAGAGAGGGCTCGTGCCCAAATTACACTGATACCAGTTAATGGCAATACATTTAATGATGGCTGTACTTAATGATGGCACTAGATGATGTTCACTCTAGTAAACTTTTAAAAGATCAAGTCTGAAATCGAAGAATATCTTTAAAAAGCTTGTCCTCAGCTATACGTGACTGAAAAACTGGGGTCTAACTGGTTAAACAAGCGTTTTTTATTGCTCCATCTTTATGTGTTTGAGCCGCTAGTTTTGCACCAGCAGAACCATTTATGGGTGATCAGTCTGCAGTCATATTGCTTTCTGTAATTATCCCAAGACTGAAAGCTCAACTGCTGTCAGGCTCAGTAAGTGGATCAGAACAGAGTTACGATTTTTGCTAAATTATTTTCTGCACTTTTAATATTCTGATACTGAACAATTAAAATAGACTGTTGAGAGAAGAAATTAAATATTTTTAATTTGGATTTACACAATAATGTTTTGGGTTTTGATTCAGTACAGACCATATACCTTTAAATGTGACTTACATTTTCTCACCAACTAAAACATGAATGTTAGATGCTATGTGTGGAACAATACTTTCCCATACAGAAATGGTTATTCATTCCTTTCTGATTCCTTTCCATAGTCAGATGGGAGAGTTGATTTCAGCCATGCTGGGGAATGTAGCTTTGATCTTAGCCCAAGGGAAGCAAAAATTTCAGCCCTAGTAAAGCAAAACATGATCTCATATTGAAGCAATTCAGACTAAAGTGTTTCAAATCCTAAAAGAAATACTGCGAGTTTCTGAATTTTGAAAGTTTTTGTCCTTTTCATAATGTAAAACCTAAATATGTTGATGGAAATATCTGCATTAATTACTGTCCCTTCCATTTTGAAATTAAAAAAAATGCTGGCAGGTTGGAATCTTCCCTGTGCTTGGGCTTTGCTCTCGAGACCAAAATCTTTAGCAAAAAATACATCCCACAGGAGAAGGTATATAGCAGATTGTATTATTTTCCTTAGAGGAAAGAAGAAAGTGAACATGGATCAGTAAGGCACTGTATCTGGAGGTGCTGTCTCATGAAAAAGGCCTACATCTTTATTAATGGTTCATGTGAGATGGGATATATTTGCTTTGCTCTGCAGCTCACATTCTGATTTGGCTAACTACATGGTGCTAACCATTGCAATGTAAATTCCAAGCACTCTCAACTTTGCACTACTAAAGATGCCCTTTATTTCTTTCAGAGTTGGGCTGTACTTGAATTTTAAATGACATCTGACAATCTACAAAGCTTCAACCATCTCCATTTTTGTTTGTTTGTTTGTTTGTTTTCCTATGCAGAAGGCTATTTCATCTACCAAGAAGCAAGTAATCTGATCCCATTTGACACTAACAGACTTGAGAGCCCAGATATTATAGTGTCTGAAAAAATATGCATAGATTTCTGGTACTATATGTTTGGGTCAGAAGAAATGAATGAGCTGAGAGTGCTTATCCAAGACAGCATGGGGGAGTCTGCAGTGTGGAGTCGAAAAGGAAGCCAGAATTCCTTGTGGAACTATGGTGCCATCACTCATAGTTTTCTAACAGAGAGAAAGATAAAGGTAATATATCTTCAGAATAAATTTATTTGTACATTATCAGCATTTATTCTCCCTTTGCAGGCTGTAAAAGATTGAACATGTAAGGCAGAAAAATATAATCTCAAGATCTGCTCAGTTTATATTTTGTAAATATAATGATCTCATGCACTATGCTGATGAACTATGAGAAGAAACAAACAACCCCCTGAATTTTACTGGTGCTGTTAGGGGATAAAAATATATTTAGTTTTCCTCTTTTTCTTCCCTTCTTCACAGTCAATGTCTTTAGGTGCCTTAATTAAATGAAGTTTTATCAGCTCTGAGTTAGGGTTTGAATCATAGAATCGCAGAATAGTTAGGGTTGGAAAGGACCTTAAGATCATCAAGTTCCAACCCCCCTGCCATGGGCAGGGACACCTCTCACTAAACCATATCACCCAAGGCCTCGTCCAACCTGGCCTTGAACCCTGGTGAGATGCTGCTTATATTGGACTTCTCTGTAGAATCCAGACAACTGATTTATCAGTCAGCAGAAGATAGGGCAATGCTTCCTGAAGTCCTTACTTTATTACAGAATATATGTTCTAGGCTTCTGAGGGAAGCTAGGAAAATTCTAGCCTCAGTTTTACTTAATGCCTTTAGAGATAGACCAGAAGGAATATTCTGAAAACATGCTGAGGGTCTGTCATTTGCCTAAAGAAATGCAGTGATTCACTTTTCTTCCTGTCTAGGTAATTTTTGAGGCTGTCCGAGGACTGACAGAGTATGGGGATACGGCACTGGACAATGTGAGAGTAAGGGATGGATCCTGTGGTAAGCCTGGTTTTTCACCTTAGAGTATACTTCTTCATCTCTGTTCAAGCTGTTGATCGTTACTCAGTTCTATGTAGAAACTCCTCATGACCCTGAACCACAAAAGAGAAGTGGCAAAAACTTTACAGCTCCCTTCACTTCAGTGCTATCTCTTTTGCTGTGATTCTTCCTAAATCTTTCCACACCACCTCAATGTTGAGAATAAGCTGTCCCATTCTCTAAAAATATGACCGTTTTCACAAGGTCCAGCAAACTTTACCTTAAATCTGAAGTGCAACTCTAAACCCACCCAAAGGTATACAGACTGGTCTTGGGTTCCAGATTAAAATGCTGTAATTGGCATTTTGCAGCAAATCTCAGTTCATACAAGCTCAGCAAATACAAAGTGCTGCAATAAAAAGAGGTAATGGTGAGTTAATAAAGCTGAGTTGCACTACCACATCTGACTATAAGTCAACAACGTGAGCTTGAGCCTTGACCCTGTAACAAATCAGCTAAGACTGGCACAAGCTGTGAGTGACTAGAATCTGGAAGTGAAATACAGTTTCATCCCATCTTTACTGACAAGCATGCACTACTTACAGAATGTGAATTGAACAAGAAACTTGCTGAAACCACGTAGAAGGTGTTGTTAGGTCTTATTAGACCTCAGTCTTTGTGAAATACTACTCATATAATGACAATAAAATGTTTCAAATTTATGCTAGCCAAGACAAGGACTTCTATTCAGGTCCATGCTCTTAGAACATAAAATTTTCTTTTAAATTCTGTGAAAAATACTTGGGGTCTTTTCTTTTTGAGGGCTAACGAGATCCAGTCTTTCATTTTTCCAGGTGTATTTGCACCAGATGTATTTCCAGGTGTGTGATTCAGCCACTGGATGGTGCACTAACATAACTCCAAAAGTGCTTCTCCCTCTTGTACAATATAGCTACTAATGTGATGAAAGTTAAGTGAGTTATTAGGTCCAGAAAAGTCAAAGTCCTCCCAACCTTTTTGTTTCTACAAGAATGTTTGATTGAATAGGTATTTTAATCAACTTATAAGATACATGTCTATTTGTCACATGAAAAATTAGCTTCCAAGGCAAGTTTGTGAAGTTTTTTTCAGTATAAACTAGACTTCAAGATACGTGAAGTCTATTGGTTTCTTCTATATTATAAATAGTAAGTATTTTGGAAAACCCCCACATCCAGCTCAGTTTGAATCGTATAGTTAGCACAAAAGCAGTATGGTCATAGTATGTAGTTACTGAATCATTATTCAAAAATCTCTAACTTGTTCTTATATAACTTCTTTTCTGTATTACTATTTAATTCCTATAAATACTGTCATTAGCAATGTCAGTGATATGGAAGAACAACTGCCTTACTTGTGTATTCATTTGAATGATTATACACCTATAGTGCATCTATAAGTAGGTTGGAAAGCATTACCTTCCATGAATCAATTCATCACTTAGTCACCTCCTTGTGCAATGACTGTTAACACACACTCAGTGCACAGGGGGGAGGCTCGTTAGGGTGCAGTAGAAGAGTACCTGAATGAGGAGAGCATTCTTTGTTTTGCAAAGGGGCAGGAGTGAATGCATGCATGCTCTGAAGTTAGTCTGTTGTACTTCCAGAGATTCAGATCCAACATTCATTGGCATGTCACCAGGTTAATGAACATGACATCAGAATACTCACCCTGGTGTTTCTAGACCACACATACAAGTACACCAAAAGGACCACTTCTTTTAGAAGACATCTTTCTGATGGGTAAAAATAGGTGGAGGAGATACAAATGCTTATTAGCAAGCAGAAGCAGGCAGGAGGGAAGACTCTGCAGCATGACTGTTTGTTGTGTCTGTCAGTAGAAAGCTCTTACAGCTGTCACATTCCCAGGAAATAAATATAATTTTGAAGGAACAACAGAACTCTCTGATTAGAAACTGCCAGTGCCCTGAGAATTACTTTTTTTCTGCTATACGGCATCTGTTGACAGGCTGCTCACTTGCAGACCAATCTAAGAATCAGACAAGCTTTTCTAAGCACTCAAAAACCCCATGTATCCTCATTTTTAAATATAGGCAGCCCCACTTCTAACTTTATGCTGGTGAAGAATAAGAAGAAATTAATGTATGTTGGTGTGTAAGTAGTGTTCACCCTATAATGTTGCAACTCACGGTATTCTGTTAACAGAAGCTGTCCCTACCCCTGTACCACCAACTGCACCAACAGAATCGACACCATCTTCAGTGACAGGTAATTTTAGCCAATCATATGCTAGCCAATGGGTTGTAGAAGGACCCCTAAAGTTTTTACTCTCTGTGCTACTTATTTGTTTCTGTTGATTTCTTTGGGTATCTCTGTTATGGCCATATAAATTTGCCTTTTCTGTTTCAGTTTTTCCATATGTAATCTATAAAATGGGCATGGTTGTGCTTTCCTACTGCACAGCAAGGTGGCTTTTCGGGACGTATCCATGTGTTAATGAGAACATACTCCTTTTTCCTGTCTCCAGAAGCAATTTGCAGTATACATGGGGATCCTCACTATGACACATTTGACAAGCAGTATCATGACTTTATGGGCACCTGCACCTACACCCTCTCCAAGCTGTGCGAGAGCAACAGTTCGCTGCCCTATTTCAACATAGAAGCAGCCAACGAGCACAGGGGAGGCAACACTCGCGTGTCTTACATCCAATACGTGGATGTTGATGTGTATGGCTACAGGATTAATCTGGGTAAAAACAGAGTTGTTAAGGTAAGGTTAGAGCCCACTCTCTATCATTAGTAATTCATAGCCTGAAAGAAGAACAACTACAGATTTTCAGCACACATGCAGTAATATTTAGAGGGCAATCAGATATTTAGGAGTAGGAGTAGTGTGGAGTTCTTAAGATTGGAATTTCAGTACTGAAATCATAGGCTACAGTTTTGTGCTTTGTAGCTACAAGTTGGGATTAGAACTGACACCCCAGAAGGTGTTGGTGGGCTAGCCCATCTTTCCAGCTTGCCTTGCATGCTCAAGCTGGGTCTGAATCAGGGAATAAAAAGGCCCTGCGTTAACCTGGTCTACACTGGTAGTTATTTCCTGATTCCGAGTGGTAGCCTGTAAAACTGCATGCTTATTTCTAATTATTAGACATCACTGCTAACTTCCGTTGACACCTGGCACTTGCTATAAAGCATGGCCAGATGAGAGTCCTAGAGTGACAATCTGATGGCTCTCCTCACACTCACTGATTGTGTCACTTTGCCAGTTATTGTATTTTAAGGCTTCTTTATGGCACCTTTCCATAAAGGGACAACAGACATGTTTGATTCAAACCCCCAATAAAGGAGTAGGTCACCTTACTTTATTACCACCCTTCTTTTAAGAAAACAGTATAGTGATTTATGTGACAGGAGACAAGGTTTAAAATGTGCACTGAGACCTTTCAGATTTGATCTTACAAACATAGTAAACTCATATATCCACATTTGTCTGTGGCTTCTCTTTTATAGCTTTTATAGCTTTTATAACTTGTATAGCTTTTATAACTTGTATAGCTTTTATAGCTTTCCCTTCTATTTACATTTTTTATTATGTATGTGTTTATTTTATTATATATATGTTTCTAAGTAAACCAGACTTTCTTACGTATGTAATAAGAACAAATATTCAAAGTAGATACTAATTTTAGTAAATTTTAAAGAATTTGAAGGTTTTTGTTTGGGTGCTTACTTTTTATTGTCTGGTGTTTCAAACATGACATTTGAAAGAGAAAAAGAACCACCCAAACAAGACAAAAAGAAGCTTTTTCAAGATTTGACCTACCCTGAAAATTGTCTGAGAATTGATTCTAACTACCTTTTTTTTTAATCTTATCTGATCCAAAATAAAAGACTGCTGCTGAGAGATCATGCTAAGTCTTGCACTTCTGCCAGTTGGGCCTGGTTCACCAAGCTCCCTTTGACTGCACTTGGAAACTATGTAGCTATGTTATGATGGCCTCCAGGTCTTAGACTATGCCCACATACACCACATTCATGGTAAATAATACTTAACCCAATAGGAATTCTTACTGCTCACTGTGTAAGTCCTATGCTCAGGAAAGGGGTGTGATCTAAGAGGGTCATGATTAAAAATACTTCTTTTAACGTTATTGTAATGACTGTCCTTCTCTGTGCCTGCAGGTTAATGGAGTCAGCCAGGTGCTCCCTCTCACCTTGGTGCAGGGTGTCAGTATTTCCCTCAGTGGGCAGTATGTTGTGGTTACTACTGACTTTGGGCTGAATGTCAGGTTTGATGGAAATCACAGAGCAGAAATCACTATTCCCAGTACCTATATGTCTAAAGTTTGTGGAATATGTGGAAATTATAATGGGCACAAGGCAGATGACTTCCTTAACCCAGATGGAGAGATGGAAACAAGCTCAGCCAGCCTTGGCAACAGTTGGCAAGTTTACAATGATTCCAGGTAGGACTGCAAATGCCATGCTGGGCCTTAGCTGTTGGTTATGCAATGATAAGTATTTTCAGCAAATGTTGTATGTGTGCCAAAAATGTCAGGCACATGGGACAAAACATATTCTTGTCAGTGTGCTTACTTTTATCTGTCTGGATAAAATTCCATAACAAATGTAACTGTGCCTAAAAAGAGAAAATGTGAATAAAACACTGCAGATGCCACTAAGATTTCGGTATTGTTATAGTATATTAATGCTAATACTTGAAGATCTATTTGAACTCCTCTGAAGATACTTCACTATTTATTTTATAATTTCACAGTGTATTATTTAATGATAGTAGAGGTTTAACTTTGAATGCTTTTACTTTTTTTTTGCCCTTCCTCTAGGTATTTTCTATGTAGAAAGCTTGACTTAAAAGAAAGCCAAAACAAATATTTGGATTTCTTCTAGGCCTCTCAAAGGTTATAAGGTTGAAATCATATTAAAATCTGAATTTCTATCCTAAGTGTTTGAAATGTAGAGCTTTAAAATATGTCATGCCTATCCTGGGTCAACCCTGTAGTTTTGTTAGATCTGAGTTGAAAAGCATCTTAGGCGCTAGTCCATCCCGGTTTCATTGGTGAATTTTTCCACTTTTTTTTTTTCTTTCCACATTAGATGCCTGCCAGATGATGGTCATACTCCAAGTTGCACTGCTGATGAAAAACATGTCATCCAAAGCAATGAATATTGTGGTCTGATCACAGATCCCAGTGGTCCATTCCAGAATTGCCACTCAGTAATTGATCCACAGAGTTATTCTAAAGCCTGCCAGTATGATCTCTGTGAACTTCATCTGAACAATGCAGCCCTCTGCCAAAACCTGCAGGCTTATGCAGACATGTGCCAATCTGCAGGAGTCCAGCTGACACCATGGAGAAATGCAACCTTCTGCCGTATGTATCAAAGTTTACTGGAAATCACCATTTGTCAGGAGGATGTAATTAGGACTTCCTGAAGAACTTCTGTATTACTTGTACAGAACAGTACAAAACATTGTTTTGGATTCATATGCCATTGTGAATCTTGGCTGTTCATGTTAACGATTTCAGGGTTGCATACAGTCCTCTGATTCTTTCGGGAAAGGTCTAGTGAAAATAGTTAAGCTGCTTTGGACGAAAGGAGAAAATACTGTCTAGTCCATCTTAAAATAGAATAGGAGGCTTTTGCTTTGAAATCCTCTAGTCTCTAATATTTGTTCAGGGGTATTAGGTGTGTCAGGGGCATATGACTTAGAGGGATTTTTACCTTCTGAAGATGCTATGCCTAAACTCAAATGTCTTTGAGAGAAAAAAAAAAAAAGTCTTTCTGAACATGCTTAGTAGATGTCTAAGGTTTTTATGCACCCTTCTTGCTGAGAGTCTGAGCTGCCTTCTCCTATACTCCCAGCCTCTCTACTTCATAGTGATCAGACACCCAGTTAACAGAAGGGAAGCTGTGTCTTCTCCTCTTGCAGCAACCTCAGCAAAAACACATCAAGGTGGATAACTTGCATGAACATAGAAATTATATGAGCCTGAGCAGATATGAGGTAGAGCTGTAGATGGAGATAAGGAATCCAAGCAATCTGGGACAGTGAGAAAGGAGCTCTAACTAGGAGCTGAAGAGGACTAATGAATAGGCTAAGAGAAAGACCCTGGATTTAATGGAAGCAAGTAGGAGCTAGAAAACAAAATGAGAATTTGTTTAGAAGTCTAGAGAAGAGAGGAAGAATAGGTTGAAACTGGCTAGGCAGAGAGCCAAGGACCAGGAAGCACAGGCTAGGTAGCTGGTCCAGGAGTCAGAGCTTGTTGGTCTTGCAAGAATAATAAAATTAGAGTTGACGGGAAGAATAACTTTTGAGATTGAACAGAGAGACTATCTTGATCTCATAGTTTGTGTCAGTGCAAATAGAGCAGGATGAAGGAGGAGCACATCTGACAAGCTGAGCAGGAGAATTGGGATGAAGGGAGAAGGACAGTATTGGAAACACTATCAGTGGCACAAACTCCCATATGTATAAGAGAGGAGGGGTTGCTGGCCATTCATCCCTGTGGATGGCATCAGTGTGTTCTGTACAGGCATAGTGATTCATGGTTTCAGATGGGAGAGGAAGCAACACAGGTAGGCAGCCTGGAATTAAAGGCCAGGACTAAAGCTAGAAGCCTGTGCAGTGGATTGTTAACCACGATAATGGAATTGGAGAATATAGTTGAGGATGTAGAGGAGACAGAAACAAAATACTTGACAAAAGATGTCAAGTACTGAAGTAATAGACAGAAGTCTAAGCTGGAGATTAAATGGGAATAATGACCTTTCTTCTGTGAATGTTCGTAAACATTACATCAAGAACATTTCTCAAGCGTTCAAGCATATATTACAGGGAAAAAAGGAGAAAACCCCCCAAACAACAAATAAAGAAAGCATTTTGTCTTTGGAATAGAATTTAAATACTGCCTGAAAGTCCTGGACAGATCTGATTGCACCAGAAACAATGCAAATAGTGATTCAGTGCTCTATGTGCCTTTTGCACTGAAGGAGATGAGGAGACTGGAGACTTGGCTGTAAACACTTCAATGACTAAGTCCTAATTTCTTTCTGGCTTTTGTTTCACATTTGACTGCAGTCTCTAGGTGGAGCATTTTCTCTGCTGGGGGCATTACTGAAGTTTTCTTTCACATATATTCTATGGCTTCTGAACAGGAGTGAGCCCTCTCTGTAGCTGTTCTTTCTGCTGAAATATCTTGTAGGGTCTCTCCTCTTACCCTTATGCCTATTTCAGTTAATGAACCTGGGTATGTTTTTGTCCTCTACCAGTGTCACCAGCTTATTTCCAATAAATCAGCTGGGTCAAATATAGTAAGTGGGAGGATGAGCAGAGAAATGTACAATAAAATTCTGTAATCTATCTTCTTAGGAAAGCAGACTAAAAACAAGAGTGAGAAAATCTGTGATTATAAACTGAATGGCATCATGTAAACATATGGAACCTGAAAAGACTGTTCAGGAAACTTCAGTTCTGACATCTTCTCACCTGAAAATCTCAGTGTTTAAAATCTCTGAATAACTTGGGTATCTACATGTTGTGCATGTAACAGTACTTAAAAATAGAATAGAGGACTTGTACATCCTGATTATTTAACAAATAATGAAGACCTTGGTGAAGTAAAAAAATATTAATTAAAAAGATATAAGATTATTATAAGCAAATATCAGGAATATTACCTAAATATGGCACATCCCTGACAATGTTCAAAGCCAGGCTGGATGGTATCTTGGATGACATGGTTTAGTGCAAGGTGTTCCTGCCCATAGCAGAGGGGATGGAGCTAGATGATCTTAAGGTCCTTTCCAACCCTAACTATTCTATGATTCTATGATTTTATGATCCTGTGACTAGGACAAATAACTAACATGACATGAATATCCTCAGCCCAATGCAAGAATTCAAACCAGTCAACTTCAGCAGTAAGAGGTCTCCTAGGAAATTCCCTCCATGAGTGAAACGTTCAATAACACAAACCTAAAGAGAAAATAAAGGGTGGTAAGACAGCAAAGGCATGCATCAAACTGCCTCAGAACTCCAAGATACACCCAAATATTTCAAATGGGATACTAACCCTAACCCTAACCCTAACCCTAACCCAATCCTCCAGTACTTAAAATATTAATAGAAAGGTTTTTCTTTTACTACACAGCCTTAGCCTGCCCAGCCAACACTCACTACGAGCCGTGTGCTGCAGCCTGCCCTGCTACCTGTGTGGACCCAATAGCACCATACAACTGCAACCTGCCATGCGTGGAGGGCTGTGTGTGCGACAGCGGGTACCTGCTCTACAATGACCGGTGCGTGCCCAGCCAGCAGTGTGGGTGCTGGCACAACGGGCAGCACTACCCCGTGGGCTCTGAGTTCTGGACAGACAACACCTGCTCGTCAAAGTGCACGTGTCCCGCGCAGGGAAACAAAGTCCAGTGCTTTAACGCCTCGTGCCCTGCGGGCCAGTTCTGTGGAGTGCAGGATGGGAGACCTGAGTGCCTGGAGCAATCCTACGGCATCTGCCATGTCCACGGTGACCCTCACTACAACACCTTTGACAAGGTGACGCACAACTTCATGGGCAACTGCACCTACACCCTGGCCAAAGTGTGCTCCAACACCACCTCCCTGCCCTACTTCAACGTTGAGGCCAAGAACGAGCATCGTGGGAACACCAGAGTGTCCTATGTGCGCGAAGTCCTGGTTGAGGTGTACGGAGAACGCATTGCCATTGTCAAGAACGAGAAGAGCCAAGTGCTGGTAGGCAGTGGGGCTGGCATGAGCATGGCAGAGCTGCAAGGCAGCAAGGCAGGGCTGGCTTTTCTTGGCAGGGCATGGGATGGTGTGTACCAGACACCTTCATTGTCCCAGGTGTGGGTGGGTTCCCCTGAAGCCACTGGGTGGCTTTCTTTTTCTTTTCTGGAGGGGTTGAGGAGGAAGAGGCAAATGGGGAATGTGTCCGACGGTGAAGAGCAGCCCCTGCAGGGAGCAGAACACAGCCACGGCTCTGCAAGCCAGAGGGGCAACTGGGTTGTGAGGGCATCGCGGGCTGTGGTTTGCTGCGCCCGGTCTGGGAGGGGATTTCCTTGGGGCAGGAGACCCAGGGATGCGTTGCCAGGGATAAGTCCAGGGCCCAGGCCCATTGCCGTGTGTCTGCCCTAGGTGAACAACGTGCGCCAGACCTTGCCGGTGAGTGCAGCGGGAGGTGCCATCACGGTGAGCAGGAGTGGCCGCTACATTGTTCTGGAGACAGACTTTGACCTCAGTGTGTCCTACGACACTGACCACTCGGTGGAGGTGAAGGTGCCCACCACCTACTTCAACCTGACCTGTGGCATGTGTGGGAACTTCAACAGCCGTAGGGAGGACGATTACATGATGCCCAACGGGCAGCAAGCCGCAGACTCCAATGAGCTGGGGGAGAGCTGGCAGGTCCCAGAGAGTGACTCATCTTGCGGTGTCCCCGACCCCTCCCCACCCTGCAGTGCAGAAGAGGAGGAGCTGTACCGATCGGAGCAGTTCTGTGGCATGCTGACTGCCAGTCCTGGCTCTTTTGAGAAGTGCCACGCTGTGATCAACCCCCAGAGCTACTTTGAGACCTGCTTCTATGACCTGTGTGCCCTGAATGGTGGCCAGGAGGTGCTGTGTGCTGCTCTGGAGGCCTACGCTGACGCCTGCCAAGCAGCCGGTGTGACTCTTCTTCCCTGGCGGAATGCGACCTTCTGCCGTGAGTTTCTGTAGAGATCTGAATCATTGAATTGTTCTTTTGTTGTCTGAACTGGTTGATTTTAGTGATTAAGTGACAAAGCTAAGAGATCTTATGATCTTCACATAACATTCAAAATATTTAGAATTAAAATTTTGTAATGTCTCCTCATTTTTTTCTGCCAGACAGAAGTTAATTTTGTTCATTATCTTAAGAATCTGTCTTAAAGCAGTAACAGTAGGTCCTGATAATACGAACTCACATCTGAGTTTTAGAAGATGTTTTGCTTTTAATATGTTGGCTTATTTCCAGACTGTGTTCAATGACTTTAACAATCCCTGTACTTTTAGAAATGTATCAGCAGCTAAGTATTATACCTAGCTTAGAGAGGCATAGTTTTTACTTGGATTTGGAGAGGCTCACCATCTAGCATATATGTGTTAAGCATTCAAACTTATATCTTGTAGAATGTTTTCTTTTTCGCTTTCTTCTATAATAACATGAAAGGAATTTCAGCTTCAAAAAAACCCAGCATTGTCACTTGCTCAAAATAATCTGTCTTGAGTCGTGGCTTATGTGAGATGTGATTGTCAATTCAGTGCCTGTTATTGTTTTTCAGCTGTTGCATGCCCTCCCAATAGTCATTACAATCCATGCACCAGTGCTTGTCCAGCAACCTGCATTGACCCTCTTGCATCAAAGAACTGCAGCAGACCTTGTATAGAAGGATGTGAATGCAGCAATGGTTTTGTCATCAGTGGTGGAGAGTGCGTGTCCATGAGCAACTGTGGCTGCCTTCAGAACGGCAGATATTATGAGGTTTGTTCTGGCACATAGTTCAGGGGCTTATTTCACAGATCAACTTTGCCATTTACTCTTTTAATTTATTTTTGTTTTATTGCCTCTAACAGAAAGGAGAGGCCTTTTGGCAAACAGACTGTGCAGGCCAATGCGTATGCGCTGGAAATGGCACTGTGGTTTGCAATTCAGACACTTGTGAAGTAAGCGAAGTTTGCAAGGTGCAGAATGGTCTCCTGGGATGTTATCCATTGAATCCCAGCACCTGCCACATTTTTGGGGATCCACATTATATAACCTTTGATGGGAGACTGTACCATTTCCAAGGAGACTGCAACTATACTGTCATTGAGACATGCACAAATTCTTCTGAAAGGTTTTCAGTGACAACCAGAAATGAACACAGAGGAAACCCGAACTGGACAGCCTTGAACTCAGTTGCTGTCACACTGAAAAATCTTCATATTGTTTTGAAGAAAAATAAAGAAACCTATGTAAGTGTGCTACTTTAAGCGTAACGAATCCATCACAGCTATTCGCTTTACATTTTTGTCTAAAAGAAATGAATCAGGCTTCTCTGCTTTATTCAGCTCCAAGACTACACATGCTAAAAGTCACAGAAATGTGTTGGGTTTTGTTTTGGAGGGGGGGGTGGGGGTTGTTTGGATTTTTTTTCTTCCCCAGAAAGGCAGGAACCAGCATAGCTTCCTTCTGTCAATTCAAATCTTTTTTTAAATGAGGTTGTAGGAAAGTATCAACTTCATCCATAGCCTCATCTAAAATAGAAAGCTTTTGCTGAACTAAATCTCAGTCTGAATTTTGTAGATCTGGTCTTTAAAATATAAATAGTATTTTTGCTATACACTCTCAGGATCGTACTTACCAGAACTTTAAATTAGCTATTCCAAGTATTGCTATGTGTGTAGTTGTGACAGCACGGAGCTCAACTTACATTAAATAGCACTGTTCAAGATTTTGGATAAATATACAGCCTGTAACCCTCTGTTAAGCTTCAAACTTCTGTGTCTACACTGTTCATTAGCATAAAGCTGACTTGGTGAAGAAAGATATAGTTCTGGCAGTATAGACCTCCCCTTTGTTACTGAGAGCTTTATTGACTTACCTGGTTGTGTGGGTTTTGTTTTCTTTAGGTGAATGGAGTTCGGGTTTATCTTCCTGTGGATTTGAATCATGGAGCCAGGATAGCTATAAAAGGACATTATGTGGTCATTGATACATCTGTAGGGATACAGGTTAAGTTTGATGGTGACCAGGAGCTTTTCATTCTGGCTGACGAAAGCCTCAAAGGACAGCTGTGTGGTCTGTGTGGGACATTCAATGACAACCAACTGGATGATTTTCTAAAACCAGATAAAGTCATAGAACAGGATCCAAATAAATTTGGTGACAGCTGGTTAGTGAAGGATGACAACAGGACGTAAGTATCTGATATTTTAGGAAAAAGCAAAATGCCTGAAACATAGATCATCTAGTTATAGAATTAACACACATGACTTAAATTCCATAGTAGCCCCTCTTTGATATTACTTGTTTGCTAGTGTTTTTACCTTTTAATAACTCCACTTTTTTTGGTAAAAAAACATTGAAACTTTAAAACCACCCTTGAGAGGTTTTCTGTGTGAACTTTGTAGATTATATTTGAAACCAGACTCCTTTTTTTCATATAACTTGTTTTTTTTCTTATTTCTCCATTCTAAAATATCTTTTTTATATTATCATACTATAAGAAGTCTAAATGTATTTCTCAGATTCAGCTCCTAAGATAGCTCCACATTGATTAACATAGCCATTGGATATGTATCTGTCTATTAATGCTTTCACCTACAAATTACTGCTCTTATTATATGCAATAGTGAATTGAATATATCTTGCTTGGTTTAGATAGCTGATCTGTTGATTCCTTCTCGATTTTATTCTATGGATAGACAGTCATACCTCAACAATTCACAGTTGTACTCTTAATGGGGAAATATAAGTTGAATTGTAATATTTCTCACTTTGGGGTTTGGCACACTAAAGATGACTATACACAGCAAATCTACAAAATTTGGCCTAGGCTTCTGTTACTGTTGAGGTATGCCTTGCAGGATAGAACAAAATACAAAGATGTATTATATAACCAAACTGCTGCTTATTTTTGATGCAGGTGTAGTCCAGTTACAGTTGTATCACCTACTTGTGACACAGCAAAAGAGAAAGAATATGAAGAACTCTGCAAAACTATTTTGAAAAATAGTGGGCCTTTTCAGGTCTGCCATTGGCACATTCCCCCACAGCTGTACTTTGAGAGCTGTGTCTATGACATGTGTGCTACAGAGGGAAATTCTGATCAGTTTTGCCAGATTTTAGAGGCATATGCTGCTGCTTGTGAACTTGGAGGTGTAAATCTGGGTGAATGGAAGAAAGATACCATCTGTGGTAAGTCATTAGGTCATTTAGCAAATAGCCATCCAATTAAATCTTCATGCTACAAATATATATTTGAATGACTAAGAGGTTGAGCAGAATTTCAGAAAAGGGGATTAAAGGAAATACAGGAAACTTTCAAGTGCTTAGCATCTCTGGAAATTTGGTTTATAATATAAGCTTCTAATGGTCTTCCATTATTCACTTTAGAAGGTGATGTTTGAACACCTTTAACCTACGACTGTTTTCAGAATTGAGTCATGAAATACAACATACATTGTAAATTAAGATCTCAGTCAGGGACAGTTGAGCACTGTCTGACAAATCACTTCTTTGGCTTTAATAAAACATTTTATCTTTTTTGAAAAGTGTCAATTATGTGACTTACACAACCTGTCTACAGACCCAGGTTTTCAGGAAGCATGTAAGATGAATTCAGAAATATATAAACCAGGGGTTTAAAATGAATAAAGGGGAATTGTGTACCTTGAGGTCCATTCAGCCTTCCAGTTGTAACACTGTTAGGCCCTTACCAAGATAGACTAGTTAATATAGAATTAAGGCTAGAGACAAGAAATTAATAGAATAATAGAATAGTTTGGGTTGGGAGGGACCTGTAAAGGTCATTTAGTCCAAAGCGCTGCAAGAAGAAGGGCAATCTCAAACTAGATCAGGTTGTTCAGAGCCCCGTAAACTTGAATCATTTCCAAGGATAGGGCATCTACTGTTTCTCTGGGCTACCTGTTCCAGTGTTGCACCACCCTCATTGTAAAAAATTTTTTTCCATATATCCTTACATTTCTTCTAGAACTACCACAGGTGATTATCAAAGCCAGCAGAAATAGCAGCCTAAGTATGAGGCTATGACATTAAAATGCATTACATAACCTTTTTCCAATTCTGAGACAGTATTTCTCATCCAAGTTCATCAGCAGTAGAAAGAAATGTCAGACCATTCTCGTTACAATGTCTAGATTTCTGTCTAAGCAGAACTTCGAGAGCCAGATGAACACTACTGTGCCAAATAGAACAGCTTTGAGCAATTTGCAATGACCAAGAATTATGACTGTGGCACAGTGTAAAGATGTAGGGTATTAGTGTATTACGATGATAACTGAGGAATTAACTCATAAAATAACACACAATCTCAGTCACTTAAAATTTCATATTTTATAGCCAATTTGTCAATATCGGTCACTTCTTCTCATTCCATTATAATGTCTTCAAATTTTTCATGATCATGGGTGCAGAAGACCTAGAAGGGCAATGTCAGAACAGAGTGAGGATTCCAAACCTTATTGTGAAAACTCTGTTTTTCTAGATTCACCAACAGCCTGCAATATGTCCTGCACATTTGATGTCGACTTCTGTGAGTGGGAACAGGCAACCAGTGACAACTTTGACTGGACAAGGCACAAGGGACCAACACCCACACCAAATACTGGCCCTTCCCATGACCACACAACTGGAGGTAGGAACAGCACAGTATGTAGATGTGTTTCTCTTGGAAGAGGGCAAGGAGCCTCTTTTAACAGCAAATCGAGGCCACATGTTTCCTAGGCTCAATCCAGAGCCTTCTGCAGCAGTAAGGATCTGTTGTGGGGTAGATGAACGTTGCAGGACATTGAGCATGTGACCTGTTAGCATCACTTCCTGTAAAGAGGCTTTAGCAAAGGTGTATCCAGGCTGACACAGGATCACTGTGGCACTTGGTCTTCCTTTAGAAGGCTTTCCTTTCCCTAAGTAGGAGACCAGTGTAATCTGGTGGAAATCCATTTGAGGACTGAAAGATTAATGCAGAAGCTGGGTGAAGAAAAGTTATACTGTACACAATGTGTAAATGAAGTCAATTTATCTTGTGCTGGCCCATTAATGTAAAAAATTGACACTCTGCTGTTTCCAGAGGGCTACTATATCTACCTGCAAGGAAATAAACAAGAACCGGGTGAGGTAGCACAGTTGGTCAGTCCAGTGTGCAGTTCAGAAGGACCACACTGCTTCCGCTTCTGGTATCACATGTATGGAGAGGCTGAAGCAATGGCTCTACGAGTGTATGTAGTTCACAATGAAACATCAACACTGGAATGGAAAGAGGCTGGAAACAAAGGGGACAGGTGGAACCTGGGAGAGGTCACGGTGCACATCAAAGGAAACACGCAGGTAAGGAACAGGCTGTAAATACCACTTGAGATGAGACATGCTTCTTAATGGCATTTCATATATGTGGATGGACCTAATGCTGGAAATCATCTCTTCCATTAGATTGTCCTGGAGGGCATGATAGGTGAAGATTTGCGGAGCGATATAGCATTGGATGATTTGTCCATTGAAAGAGGATACTGCACAGGTACAAGGCTTGGGTCAGGGAAGGGCAGCTTAAATGACGTTATGCTTCTTGTGGCAGTAAATGTAGTTCCTGTCTTGAGAAAAAGCTAATCAAGTAGAATTGATATGCTTGTAACATTTTCATAGGAGATGTAACACCAACAACACCAGGTACCATTATCACACCACCTTCAGAAGACAAAACAACATCAGCACCCATGCCAGGCTCAGGTGAGTAAAGTAGACCAGTCATAGGGCTGATGTTCTTTGGTCAAGGTGGGCTTAGGAAACCCATAGTGGATACAATTTGCATTTTCACTGGACGGCTTGTATTTGCTTTCTGTCACTTCCCTGCCATATCGAGACACACGTTGCGTGATATTCCCTTTTGTGCACTCGGGTGGGGCAGCTGGGCTTCCGGCATTTAGGTATTTGAGGAGATTTGAACCAGATGACTGGAAAAACTACTCCATTCTTAACACAAATTTCTGGTAACAGGTCCCTTGGTAAAAGCGCTATACCAGTCGTGGGGCTGATGTTCTTTAGTCAAGGTGGGCTTAGGAGAAGAGGCAACAGGAGTTGCTTAACTGAACGCTTCCTCTCATCTTTCCACTGCCAGGGACCTGTGTGGTAGAAGGAGACCCTCACTACCACACGTTTGACAATCAGCTGCACCACTTCATGGGCACCTGCACCTACACCCTCTCTAAGCTGTGCGAGAGCAACAGTTCTCTGCCCTACTTCAATGTGGAAGCAGCCAACGAGCACAGGGGAGGCAACATTCGCGTGTCCTACGTCCAATATGTGGATGTCGATGTGGCTGGCCAGCGGATAAGGCTGGGGAAGGGTGGTGCGGTGACGGTAAGCACAAGGAAGAGAGGCGCTGTGCTGTGTGAGAGGAGAGGACTGTGCCAAATGGGTTGCTCCAACCCTGCCTTGTTTTCTTTCCTTCCAGGTCAATGGAGTGGCAGAGGTCCTGCCTTGCACCCCGTCCCCAGGTGTGCAGGTCTCGTCCAGCGGGTTCTACACTGTGGTCACAACAGACTTTGGCTTGAAAGTGAAGTTTGATGGGAACCATAGGGTGGAGGTGACGCTTCCGAGCACCTTTGGGCAGAAGGTGTGTGGCATGTGTGGGAACTTCAACGGGATGGCATCAGATGACTTCCTGAACCCAGAAGGGGTGCTGGAGCCAGACTCCACCAGCCTGGGCAACAGCTGGCAGGTGTCCAACGACAGCAGGTATGTGTTGTCCCCCAGCTGGTCTGGGGACGTGTCGGGCGAGGGTATCTTGAGACACGAGGAGAAACCCACAGGTGACTCAGGGACCCTGCTTCCTGTCTTTCCACAGCTGCTCAGCCGGACCACTCCCCACCCCAGCCTGCAGCGAGACGGACAAGCAAGTCATTGCCAGCAGCCACTTCTGTGGGCTCCTCACGGACACCAGCGGCCCGTTCCAGATGTGCCACTCTGTGCTGAGCCCCAGCAGTTACTTTGACACCTGCACTTATGACCTGTGCGAGCTGGAGCTGGACCACGAAGCCCTGTGCAAGAGCTTGCAGTCCTACGCGGATGCCTGCCAGTCGCTTGGTGTCAAGATACCTGTGTGGAGGAATGCAACCTTTTGCCGTAAGTCCACACACGGTACCACAGACTGTTACTCTCAGTAAAACATAGAATTGGAATGAAAGAGTGGGGTGGGGAATAAGAATCTTTTTTGTTACATGCCTTGGGGACTTACAGATAGTTGTCAGAATCAGGGGCACCGTTTTCTGCTTCGTTTGCTCAGGTATGATTTAGAATATCCATGGAGCCAAGCAGATCTCAGAGAAACTAATGCAGACGGTTAATTTTCCAAAGGGGAGAATACAGCACAAAGAGACGTAATCTAATGGCCATGTGTTCTGTCTCGACAGCTGTCACCTGTCCAGCCAACAGTCACTACGAGCCGTGTGCTGCAGCCTGCCCTGCCACCTGTGTTGATCCCATGGCTCCTGCTAGCTGCAGCCTGCCATGCGTGGAGGGCTGTGTGTGCGACAGTGGGTACCTGCTCTACAATGACCGGTGCGTGCCCAGCCAGCAGTGTGGGTGCTGGCACAACGGGCAGCACTACCCCGTGGGCTCTGAGTTCTGGACAGACAACACCTGCTCGTCAAAGTGCACGTGTCCCGCGCGGGGAAACAAAGTCCAGTGCTTTAACGCCTCGTGCCCTGCGGGCCAGTTCTGTGGAGTACAGGATGGGAGACCTGAGTGCCTGGAGCAATCCTACGGCATCTGCCATGTCCACGGTGACCCTCACTACAACACCTTTGACAAGGTGACGCACAACTTCATGGGCAACTGCACCTACACCCTGGCCAAAGTGTGCTCCAACACCACCTCCCTGCCCTACTTCAACGTTGAGGCCAAGAACGAGCATCGTGGGAACACCAGAGTGTCCTACGTGCGCGAAGTCCTGGTTGAGGTGTACGGAGAACGCATTGCCATTGTCAAGAACGAGAAGAGCCAAGTGCTGGTAGGCAGTGGGGCTGGCATGAGCATGGCAGAGCTGCAAGGCAGCGAGGCAGGGCTGGCTTTTCTTGGCAGGGCATGGGATGGTGTGTACCAGACACCTTCATTGTCCCAGGTGTGGGTGGGTTCCCCTGAAGCCACTGGGTGGCTTTCTTTTTCTTTTCTGGAGGGGTTGAGGAGGAAGAGGCAAATGGGGAATGTGTCCGACGGTGAAGAGCAGCCCCTGCAGGGAGCAGAACACAGCCACGGCTCTGCAAGCCAGAGGGGCAACTGGGTTGTGAGGGCATCGCGGGCTCTGGTTTGCTGCGCCCGGTCTGGGAGGGGATTTCCTTGGGGCAGGAGACCCAGGGATGCGTTGCCAGGGATAAGTCCAGGGCCCAGGCCCATTGCCGTGTGTCTGCCCTAGGTGAACAACGTGCGCCAGACCTTGCCGGTGAGTGCAGCGGGAGGTGCCATCCTGGTGAGCAGGAGTGGCCGCTACATTGTCCTGGAGACAGACTTTGACCTCAGTGTGTCCTACGACACTGACCACTCGGTGGAGGTGAAGGTGCCCACCACCTACTTCAACCTGACCTGTGGCATGTGTGGGAACTTCAACAACCGTAGGGAGGACGATTACATGATGCCCAACGGGCAGCAAGCCGCAGACTCCAATGAGCTGGGGGAGAGCTGGCAGGTCCCAGAGAGTGACTCATCTTGCGGTGTCCCCGACCCCTCCCCACCCTGCAGTGCAGAAGAGGAGGAGCTGTACCGATCGGACCAGTTCTGTGGCATGCTGACTGCCAGTCCTGGCTCTTTTGAGAAGTGCCACGCTGTGATCAACCCCCAGAGCTACTTTGAGACCTGCTTCTATGACCTGTGTGCCCTGAATGGTGGCCAGGAGGTGCTGTGTGCTGCCCTGGAGGCCTACGCTGATGCCTGCCAAGCAGCCGGTGTGACTCTTCTTCCCTGGCGGAATGCGACCTTCTGCCGTGAGTACCTGCTTTGCAATTGCCAGGGGGGAAATGTTCCGCTCCCTGTTCCCAGAGCCTCTGGCCACAGCAAGTCGTTTGTTTTCCACTTCTCAGAAGGTCCTCCTTCCTTAAAGGCTTGCTGGTCTCAATTGTCCCCTTCCCATTGCAGCCCTGCTGTGCCCCGACAACAGCTACTATGACCCTTGCATGACTGGCTGTCCTGCCACCTGTGTTGACCGACAAGCCCCGCAGAACTGCTCCAAGCCCTGCATGGAGGGCTGCGCATGTACCTCTGGCTTCCTTCTCAGCGGAGACATGTGTGTGCCCGAGGCCCACTGTGGCTGCCTCTTTGAGGGCAACTACTACAGTGTGAGTGAAAACCCTGCCCTGGCTTGCACCCCTCCCAGGGCACTCCCTGGCTCTGTTTTCCTGCCTGATAGACTGACGCTTGGTGTTTGCCTGCAGGAAGGCGAGTACTCTGTGAGCGAGGACTGTGCTCGCCAGTGCCGGTGTGAAGCCAAGGGCCAGATGGTTTGCTCTCCGTTGTCCTGTGGTGAGGATGAGGTCTGCAAGATCCAGGATGGCCAGAGGGGCTGCTACCCAGCCAGCACTGCTCTCTGCCACATCTATGGTGACCCGCATTACAGCACCTTCGATGGGAAGCTTCACCACTTCCAGGGCTCTTGCAACTACACAGTGGTGACAGGCTGTGACAACTCCTCTGCTGGGTTCAGTGTCACCACCCGCAACGAACATCGTGGCAGCCAGAGCTGGACAGCTCTGAACTCGGTGGCACTGTCCATGGAAGGCCTCCACATTGCACTGCGCGAGAACAAGGCGGTCTATGTAAGCCCCTCGTTTTTACACCTGGGAACAACAGGTGCCCTGGCCACCCTTAAGTACCACTCTGTCCCCGAGAAGAGCTTGATGTTCCCTGAGCCTGCTGGTGTGCTCACATAAGAGCATGGCGAGGCTCTGAGTGCTGCTGAAATGGCTGCTTGTGCAGCAAGGGATTTTCGGCTTGTTTTCCTTAGCTTTCAGTGTGCCGTCTGTAGTCGCTGCTGTTCTCATAGGCCCTGGCAGGGTTTCTCATGCCATTCATCCTCCTGACTCCCAGGGCCCTGGCAGTGTCAGAGTGGAAAGCAGTGAACTCTCAGTGGAGGGCATCTGTTTATGCTTCTGTCTCGCTCTGTCCCTCTTATGCAGATCAATGGTGCTCTGGCCTCCCTGCCTGCTTCTCCTGCCCCTGGTGTAAACATTTCCCTGAGTGGCTCCTACGTGCGGGTTTCTACCGAGCTGGGCCTGCAGCTGCTGTTCAATGGGGATGATGAGCTCCTAGTGAAGGTGTCTGAGAAGCACAAGGGCAAGCTGTGTGGGCTGTGTGGGACGTACACTGGGAACCAGCAAGATGACTTCATGCGACCTGATGGGGTTGTCGTGCCTGACTTCAATGAGTTTGGGGCCAGCTGGATGGTGCCGGATGATGAATGGCCGTGAGTCCTTGTTCCGCTGCATAGATGGCAGACAAAAGGGAGCATGGGAGAGGGGAGCTGTGAGGGGCAGAAGCAGGGAGGGTTGGTAATGGTACGCATGGGCACATGGTGTGTGGGAGAGGAGGAGGCAGTTGTGACAGTGCGCGTGAGAGCACGTAGAAGCTCCACTGCAACGCACGTATCATCCTTGCATCTCACCTGTTTGCTCCACCCAACAGCGGGATGTCTTGTGCGCAAATGGGTGCCAGACGTGTGGCCGTTCCCCTTTCCTCTCAAGGCTGGCTTGTTTGTGGCACTGTCCAGGCCTTTCCGTACGGTCAGGGTGCATGGTGCTCTCTGCTCTCTCCCTGTAGGCGCTCAGCTCTGTGGTCCTTGGTGACCTCTGTGCATGGCTCTGCCCTCCCAGTCCACTGTGGACCATTTTGCCCACCCTTGCAAGAGACAGCCCTTGGTGCCTTCTCTTATCGAGGGCTGTGGACTCCACAGGCTGAGGTTTTGGCTGGGACAAGGTCCAGAAATGGTGTGGCTGGAGTCCTCAGGCTGCTGTGAGCTCAGGTCTGCCTGTCTGCTTCCTAGGTGTGATCCAGCCATCAACCCGCCCACGTCCTGCTCCCCCTCTGAGGAGGAGGCAGCTAACAAGCAGTGTACAATCCTCACACAACTTGGTGGCCCGTTCCAGCCATGCCATGCAGTTCTACCACCCAAGACATACTTTGAGAGCTGCGTCTATGACCAGTGTGCCACGGGCGGCAGCGTGGAGCAGCTGTGCAATGACTTGGAGGCCTATGCCGCAGCGTGTGCTGAGGCAGGCGTTGCCCTGGGAGACTGGAGTGCTGGCACTGCCTGTGGTAAGTGTTCTGTTGATTTCCGTTGTGGCCCAGATTCAAGGAATGGGGCAGCAGTAGTGGAGGTTTGCCCGTGTGTCACTTAACAGTGCTGGTTGGCAAGCTCTTGGGTGGAGAGTCTCTTTGTGACGGGGATATTGTGGATTTCCTCTGCTGTGCTCCTTTTGCCATGATGTGGGGGTGTTTGGAAAGGTGCAACATCCCCTTTTGGGAACAAATCTCCATTATGAAACCTGTCTTCTCCACCTCTCTTTCACTGTACATCCAGCAGCTCCTACAACTGCGTCCCCGTTGCCAGGCACCTCAACGCAGCCTCCACATACAACAGTTTCACCAGCGCCTGGGACAAGCACAGGTACTGTTGTGTCCCACTCATGTGTTTTACTGGCTGTGCTAGGCACCCAGCTTGTGCACTTCCACTCAGTTGGCCATCCTCACCTGACCTGAGCGTGCCAGGGATGTAGGTGTGCCCTGTGGGACACAGAGAAAAGCTGGCCTGTCCTCACCCTAGAATCTCTGCTTTCCTCTCTGTGCCATACCCAGCTCCCTCAGCAGACTGCAATTTTGATTGCACATTCGACAACGACTTCTGTGAGTGGGTCCAGCCAGATTACAGCAGCATTGACTGGATAAGGAACAAGGGTCCAACACCCACGCAAGATACTGGTCCGTCCTCTGACCACACGACAGGAGGTAGGAACAGCAGTGCGTACACAGCGGTCCTTCTGGTAGAGGGGTGTCCCTAGGAAGATGCAACTAACCTTGTCTAAGAGCAAATTTGGGCCACACGTTTCCTGACCTTGATCCAGAGCCTTTTTGTGGCTGTTTCTCTCAGAGCCATCCTTCAGGAGGCGCTGCAAGGCTGGGTGTCAGCCTGTGGTACCTCAGGGCAGGCAAGGACCTGCCAGACAAGGGGGAAAGTAATGCAAAGTTTGATGACATGGCTTGTCTCAGAACAAGAACAGGTCTCTTTTTTAGGAGACGGTGGCTTCTCCAGTAGCCAGTGATGAGTGGAACGCAAAGTGGCAGAGCCATGCGAGGACTGTGGCAATGCATTGGAGGTTACCCGGTGCAAGCCATACAGAGAGCATAGTTCATAGGCGGACTGTCGTGGTTTAAGCTCAGCTGTAAATCACAGAGTCGCTCTCTCACTACCATCCTCTCCTTTCCCCACTCCTGGAGGGATGGGGAGGAGAATCGAAAGAATGTAACTCCCATTGGTCGAGATAAGAACAGTTTAGTAATTATGGTATAACACACACCACTGCTGCTACCACCAATAATAATAATGATAAAGGAAATAATAATGATAAAGGAAATAACAAGGAAGAAAAGCCTACAGCACCCGGGATTCCCAGGCGGTCTCCCATCCAAGTACTAACCGAGCCTGACCCTGCTTGGCTTGCGAGATCAGATGAGATTGGGCGTTTTCAGGGTGGTGTGGCTATAGGCCTGCTTTGGCCGCTGCCGGCCGAAGCCGGGACACGGACTCAGGCCTGGGGAGTGTTGTGGCTAGCAAAGGACCTATATTTGCTGTCCCCTCCTATTGCCTGCCTTGAAGCTCTGGAGGGGTGCTCCAGGACTGTGCTTGGGTTGTGCCTGGCTGCGTGGTCTGGATTTGATTATGCATGGGATGGTGTGTCTCACACTGTGTTTCAGATGGCTACTACATCTACCTGCAAGGGAGCAATGCCCTCTGTGGCTTTGTGGCTCAGCTGGTCAGTCCGGTGTGCAATTCAGAAGGACCACACTGCTTCCGCTTCTGGTATCACATGTACGGAACGGCTAAAACAATGGCTCTGCGGGTATACGTGGTTAAGGGTGAAGACCTAGAGCTGGTCTGGAGCAGCGTTGGGAACCACGGGGACAGATGGCACATGGGAGAGGTCACAGTGCACAGCACAGGAAACATGCAGGTAAGGGCACAGGCTCTCACTGCTGTCTGAGATAAACTGTGCTTTCAAAAGGCACTTCACACATGTGGCCAGAGCTAATGCTGGGAAATGTCCCTTCCCTTAGATTATCCTGGAGGGCGAATGGGGTGAAGATATCCGCAGTAACGTAGCATTGGATGACCTGTCCATCGAAGAAGGATCCTGCGAAGGTACCAGCCTTGTCTTGGGGAAGGGCAGGTTGAGAGATGTCACCGAGGTGGAAGGCTACACTTAGAGGCAGGAGCGCAGGTTCTCTTTGCAGTGCCCTGTAGGCCTGTGATGCAGCCTGTGCCTGAGCAGGCTTTCCTCTGAGAGCCTGGACCACTGGCCGTGCCTGCAGTCGCTACTTGGTTCTCGTATTAGAAGGTGCACAGCCAAGACACTGAGCATAGGTACTGAAGAGTCTAATCTGCTTTTGTCACCCAGCTGTGATGGTGGCAGAGCCCTTGGGTGGCACGGTTCTTTCTGATCGCTGTCCTAAGCCTCTCTGAGTGTGGTGTTGATGTGTTTGGGAAGCTTGGGTCAGTTTCCTGAAGCAAAACTCACATGTGAGCTCGGATGTCCACTGACTCTCTCTTGTGCTAGATCCATCGACACCAAAACCCACGCTCCCCTTGCCAGGAGCTACAACGCAGCCTCCACGTACACCATCACCACCAAGACCCACGCCGAGTTCAGGTACTCTCTTGCTCCCTCCTAGTTTTCTACTGCTTGTGACAAGCTTTCAATTAGCTTTCTTCGAGGCTGGTGGCCAAGAGAGGGAGTGTCTGTATTCAAGGTCTGTGCGTCAGTTCCTCTCTCCTGGCTGTGCTAGGTGATAGGAGACCACTTGAGTGCTGGAGTGTTTTCTGAGGACCACTGTGCGATCTTGCTCGTGGGCCTCTCTGGTCACGTGTTGAGTGTTTGGGAAGAGTGGGCCTGCGGCCTGCAACAAATGCCCCCTTCTGGCACCGATTTCCTCCAACTCTCTCTTGTGCTAGGTCCATCCACCGGAGAACCTGGGACCGCCTTGCCAAACACAGCTCAGCCTCCTCATACACCTAGACCCACGCCAAGCTCAGGTATTGCCATGTCCCGTCCCTGTCTTCTACTGCTTGTGGCAAGTGTCCAGTTGTCTGTCTTTGAGTCTCATGGCCAAGGCATAAATTTCTGTAGTCAATGCACTGTACGTCTCCTGCTATATCCATAAATGTTGGTGGGAGAGCACTTGAGTCCTGAGGAGTATTTCTGAGAATTCTCTGTGGAATTCCTGTCCTGCGTCCCTCTGGTCATGGTGTTGGGTGTTTGGGAAGGTTGGTCACCTTCCTGGAGCAATACTCTCATGTCAGTGCTGGTATCCTCTAATTCTCTGTTCTGCTAGGTCCATCCACCGGAGAACCTGGGACTGCCTTACCAAGCACAACACAACCTCCTCATACACCAAGACCCACACCAAGCTCAGGTAATGCCACATCCTGTCTCTATCTTCTACTGCGTATGGGATGTGTTTGGTTGTCTTTATTTAAGCCTCAAGACTCAGGAATGAAGTGATTGTAGTGAAGGAACTGCATGTCTCTTTCTGTCACTCCTCTGTGCTAGTGGGAGGACACTCAAGTACTGTAGTTTTCATTGAGGACTCACTGTGTGATTGCTGTTCTGCACCTCTCTGGTCATGGTGTTGGTGTTTGGAAAAGGTCTTGCTTGCAACAAGACTCCCATATTGGTGCATTTCTCTTCTACCTTTCTCTTGTTCTAGGTCCATCCACTGGAGAACCTGGGACTGCCTTGCCAAGCACAACACAACCTCCTCATACACCAAGACCCACACCAAGCTCAGGTATTGCCATGTCCTGTACCTATCTTCTACTGCTCGTGGCAAGTGCCCAGTTGTCTGTCTTTGAGTCTCTCGGCCAAGTCATAAATTTCTGTAGTCAATGCACTGTACGTCTCCTGCTATATCCATAAATGTTGGTGGGAGAGCACTTGAGTCTGAGGAGTATTTTTGAGGATTCACAGTGGAATTCCTGTCCTGCATCCCTCTGGTCATGGTGTTGTGTGTTTGGGAAGGTTGGTCAGCTTCCTGGAGCAATACTCTCATGTCAGTGCTGGTATCTTCCAATTCTCTCTTCTGCTAGGTCCATCCACTGGAGAACCTGGGACTGCCTTGCCAAGCACAACACAACCTCCTCATACAACAAGACCCACACCAAGCTCAGGTACTGCCACGTCCTGTCTCTATCTTCTACTGCTTGTGGCAAGTGTTCAATTATCTTTCTTCGAGGCTCATGGCCAAGAGAGGGAGTGTCTGTATTGAAGGAGCTGTGTGTCTCCTTTTATCCCCTGGGAGTGCTGTTTAGATAGCACTTGAGAAATCTCTTTAGGTAGCACTTGAGAAATCTCTGCTGGGCATCACTGTGTAATCCCTGTCCTACGTCTCTCTGGTCACAGTGTTAGGCGTTTGGGAAGGGCGGGCCATGTGCTTGCAAGTTAACCGCATTATTGACACTCACTAGGTCTACCTCTGTCTCACTGTAGGTCCTCTTCCTTCTACAACATCGACCCCATTGCCAGGCACCACAACACAGACAACACAAGGAACACAACCACCATCACCACCACCTGGTATGACTTCAGCTACTGCTATTATTTTTAGTGTTTTCAGTCATCTTGGAAACCCATAGTGGATACAATTTGCATTTTCACTGGATGGCTTGTATTTGCTTTCTGTCACTTCCCTGCCATATCGAGACACACATTGCGTGATATTCCCTTTTGTGTGCTTGGGTGGGGCAGCTGGGCTTCCAGCATTTAGGTATTTGAGGAGATTTGAACCAGATGACTGGAAATACTACTCCATTCTTAACACAAATCTCTGGTAACAGGTCCCTTGGTAAAAGCGCTATACCAGTCATGGGGCTGATGTTCTTTGGTCAAGGTGGGCTTAGGAGAAGAGGCAACAGGAGGTGCTTAACTGAACGCTTCCTCTCATCTTTCCACTGCCAGGGACCTGTGTGGTAGAAGGAGACCCTCACTACCACACGTTTGACAATCAGCTGCACCACTTCATGGGCACCTGCACCTACACCCTCTCTAAGCTGTGCGAGAGCAACAGTTCTCTGCCCTACTTCAATGTGGAAGCAGCCAACGAGCACAGGGGAGGCAACATTCGCGTGTCCTACGTCCAATATGTGGATGTCGATGTGGCTGGCCAGCGGATAAGGCTGGGGAAGGGTGGTGCGGTGACGGTAAGCACAAGGAAGAGAGGCGCTGTGCTGTGTGAGAGGAGAGGACTGTGCCAAATGGGTTGCTCCAACCCTGCCTTGTTTTCTTTCCTTCCAGGTCAATGGAGTGGCAGAGGTCCTGCCTTGCACCCCGTCCCCAGGTGTGCAGGTCTCGTCCAGCGGGTTCTACACTGTGGTCACAACAGACTTTGGCTTGAAAGTGAAGTTTGATGGGAACCATAGGGTGGAGGTGACGCTTCCGAGCACCTTTGGGCAGAAGGTGTGTGGCATGTGTGGGAACTTCAACGGGATGGCATCAGATGACTTCCTGAACCCAGAAGGGGTGCTGGAGCCAGACTCCACCAGCCTGGGCAACAGCTGGCAGGTGTCCAACGACAGCAGGTATGTGTTGTCCCCCAGCTGGTCTGGGGACGTGTCGGGCGAGGGTATCTTGAGACACGAGGAGAAACCCACAGGTGACTCAGAGACCCTGCTTCCTGTCTTTGCACAGCTGCTCAGCCGGACCACTCCCCACCCCAGCCTGCAGCGAGACGGACAAGCAAGTCATTGCCAGCAGCCACTTCTGTGGGCTCCTCACGGACACCAGCGGCCCGTTCCAGATGTGCCACTCTGTGCTGAGCCCCAGCAGTTACTTTGACACCTGCGCTTATGACCTGTGCGAGCTGGAGCTGGACCACGAAGCCCTGTGCAAGAGCTTGCAGTCCTACGCGGATGCCTGCCAGTCGCTTGGTGTCAAGATACCTGTGTGGAGGAACGCAACCTTTTGCCGTAAGTCCACACACGGTACCACAGACTGTTACTCTCAGTAAAACATAGAATTGGAATGAAAGAGTGGGGTGGGGAATAAGAATCTTTTTTGTTACGTGCCTTGGGGATTTACAGGTAGTTGTCAGAATCAGGGGCACCGTTTTCTGCTTCGTTTGCTCAGGTATGATTTAGAATATCCATGGAGCCAAGCAGATCTCAGAGAAACTAATGCAGACGGTTAATTTTCCAAAGGGGAGAATACAGCACAAAGAGACGTAATCTAATGGCCATGTGTTCTGTCTCGACAGCTGTCACCTGTCCAGCCAACAGTCACTACGAGCCGTGTGCTGCAGCCTGCCCTGCCACCTGTGTTGATCCCATGGCTCCTGCTAGCTGCAGCCTGCCGTGCGTGGAGGGCTGTGTGTGCGACAGCGGGTACCTGCTCTACAATGACCGGTGCGTGCCCAGCCAGCAGTGTGGGTGCTGGCACAACGGGCAGCACTACCCCGTGGGCTCTGAGTTCTGGACAGACAACACCTGCTCGTCAAAGTGCACGTGTCCCGCGCAGGGAAACAAAGTCCAGTGCTTTAACGCCTCGTGCCCTGCGGGCCAGTTCTGTGGAGTGCAGGATGGGAGACCTGAGTGCCTGGAGCAATCCTACGGCATCTGCCATGTCCACGGTGACCCTCACTACAACACCTTTGACAAGGTGACGCACAACTTCATGGGCAACTGCACCTACACCCTGGCCAAAGTGTGCTCCAACACCACCTCCCTGCCCTACTTCAACGTTGAGGCCAAGAACGAGCATCGTGGGAACACCAGAGTGTCCTATGTGCGCGAAGTCCTGGTTGAGGTGTACGGAGAACGCATTGCCATTGTCAAGAACGAGAAGAGCCAAGTGCTGGTAGGCAGTGGGGCTGGCATGAGCATGGCAGAGCTGCAAGGCAGCGAGGCAGGGCTGGCTTTTCTTGGCAGGGCATGGGATGGTGTGTACCAGACACCTTCATTGTCCCAGGTGTGGGTGGGTTCCCCTGAAGCCACTGGGTGGCTTTCTTTTTCTTTTCTGGAGGGGTTGAGGAGGAAGAGGCAAATGGGGAATGTGTCCGACGGTGAAGAGCAGCCCCTGCAGGGAGCAGAACACAGCCACGGCTCTGCAAGCCAGAGGGGCAACTGGGTTGTGAGGGCATCGCGGGCTGTGGTTTGCTGCGCCCGGTCTGGGAGGGGATTTCCTTGGGGCAGGAGACCCAGGGATGCGATGCCAGGGATAAGTCCAGGGCCCAGGCCCATTGCCGTGTGTCTGCCCTAGGTGAACAACGTGCGCCAGACCTTGCCGGTGAGTGCAGCGGGAGGTGCCATCACGGTGAGCAGGAGTGGCCGCTACATTGTCCTGGAGACAGACTTTGACCTCAGTGTGTCCTACGACACTGACCACTCGGTGGAGGTGAAGGTGCCCACCACCTACTTCAACCTGACCTGTGGCATGTGTGGGAACTTCAACAACCGTAGGGAGGACGATTACATGATGCCCAACGGGCAGCAAGCCGCAGACTCCAATGAGCTGGGGGAGAGCTGGCAGGTCCCAGAGAGTGACTCATCTTGCGGTGTCCCCGACCCCTCCCCACCCTGCAGTGCAGAAGAGGAGGAGCTGTACCGATCGGACCAGTTCTGTGGCATGCTGACTGCCAGTCCTGGCTCTTTTGAGAAGTGCCACGCTGTGATCAACCCCCAGAGCTACTTTGAGACCTGCTTCTATGACCTGTGTGCCCTGAATGGTGGCCAGGAGGTGCTGTGTGCTGCCCTGGAGGCCTACGCTGACGCCTGCCAAGCAGCCGGTGTGACTCTTCTTCCCTGGCGGAATGCGACCTTCTGCCGTGAGTACCTGCTTTGCAATTGCCAGGAGGGAAATGTTCCGCTCCCTGTTCCCAGAGCCTCTGGCCACAGCAAGTCGTTTGTTTTCCACTTCTCAGAAGGTCCTCCTTCCTTAAAGGCTTGCTGGTCTCAATTGTCCCCTTCCCATTGCAGCCCTGCTGTGCCCCGACAACAGCTACTATGACCCTTGCATGACTGGCTGTCCTGCCACCTGTGTTGACCGACAAGCCCCGCAGAACTGCTCCAAGCCCTGCATGGAGGGCTGCGCATGTACCTCTGGCTTCCTTCTCAGCGGAGACATGTGTGTGCCCGAGGCCCACTGTGGCTGCCTCTTTGAGGGCAACTACTACAGCGTGAGTGAAAACCCTGCCCTGGCTTGCAGCCCTCCCAGGGCACTCCCTGGCTCTGTTTTCCTGCCTGATAGACTGACGCTTGGTGTTTGCCTGCAGGAAGGCGAGTACTCTGTGAGCGAGGACTGTGCTCGCCAGTGCCGGTGTGAAGCCAAGGGCCAGATGGTTTGCTCTCCGTTGTCCTGTGGTGAGGATGAGGTCTGCAAGATCCAGGATGGCCAGAGGGGCTGCTACCCAGCCAGCACTGCTCTCTGCCACATCTATGGTGACCCGCATTACAGCACCTTCGATGGGAAGCTTCACCACTTCCAGGGCTCTTGCAACTACACAGTGGTGACAGGCTGTGACAACTCCTCTGCTGGGTTCAGTGTCACCACCCGCAACGAACATCGTGGCAGCCAGAGCTGGACAGCTCTGAACTCGGTGGCACTGTCCATGGAAGGCCTCCACATTGCACTGCGCGAGAACAAGGCGGTCTATGTAAGCCCCTCGTTTTTACACCTGGGAACAACAGGTGCCCTGGCCACCCTTAAGTACCACTCTGTCCCCAAGAAGAGCTTGATGTTCCCTGAGCCTGCTGGTGTGCTCACATAAGAGCATGGCGAGGCTCTGAGTGCTGCTGAAATGGCTGCTTGTGCAGCAAGGGATTTTCGGCTTGTTTTCCTTAGCTTTCAGTGTGCCGTCTGTAGTCGCTGCTGTTCTCATAGGCCCTGGCAGGGTTTCTCGTGCCATTCATCCTCCTGACTCCCAGGGCCCTGGCAGTGTCAGAGTGGAAAGCAGTGAACTCTCAGTGGAGGGCATCTGTTTATGCTTCTGTCTCGCTCTGTCCCTCTTATGCAGATCAATGGTGCTCTGGCCTCCCTGCCTGCTTCTCCTGCCCCTGGTGTAAACATTTCCCTGAGTGGCTCCTACGTGCGGGTTTCTACCGAGCTGGGCCTGCAGCTGCTGTTCAATGGGGATGATGAGCTCCTAGTGAAGGTGTCTGAGAAGCACAAGGGCAAGCTGTGTGGGCTGTGTGGGACGTACACTGGGAACCAGCAAGATGACTTCATGCGACCTGATGGGGTTGTCGTGCCTGACTTCAATGAGTTTGGGGCCAGCTGGATGGTGCCGGATGATGAATGGCCGTGAGTCCTTGTTCCGCTGCATAGATGGCAGACAAAAGGGAGCATGGAAGAGGGGAGCTGTGAGGGGCAGAAGCAGGGAGGGTTGGTAATGGTAGGCATGGGCACATGGTGTGTGGGAGAGGAGGAGGCAGTTGTGACAGTGCGCGTGAGAGCACGTAGAAGCTCCACTGCAACAGACGTATCATCCTTGCATCTCACCTGTTTGCTCCACCCAACAGCGGGATGTCTTGTGCGCAAATGGGTGCCAGACGTGTGGCCGTTCCCCTTTCCTCTCAAGGCTGGCTTGTTTGTGGCACTGTCCAGGCCTTTCCGTACGGTCAGGGTGCATGGTGCTCTATGCTCTCTCCCTGTAGTCGCTCAGCTCTGTGGTCCTTGGTGACCTCTGTGCATGGCTCTGCCCTCCCATTCCACTGTGGACCATTTTGCCCACCCTTGGAAGAGACAGCCCTTGGTGCCTTCTCTTATCGAGGGCTGTGGACTCCACAGGCTGAGGTTTTGGCTGGGACAAGGTCCAGAAATGGTGTGGCTGGAGTCCTCAGGCTGCTGTGAGCTCAGGGCTGCCTGTCTGCTTCCTAGGTGTGATCCAGCCATCAACCCGCCCACGTCCTGCTCCCCCTCTGAGGAGGAGGCAGCTAACAAGCAGTGTACAATCCTCACACAACTTGGTGGCCCGTTCCAGCCATGCCATGCAGTTCTACCACCCAAGACATACTTTGAGAGCTGCGTCTATGACCAGTGTGCCACGGGCGGCAGCGTGGAGCAGCTCTGCAATGACTTGGAGGCCTATGCCGCAGCGTGTGCTGAGGCAGGCGTTGCCCTGGGAGACTGGAGTGCTGGCACTGCCTGTGGTAAGTGTTCCGTTGATTTCTGTTGTGGCCCAGATTCAAGGAATGGGGCAGCAGTAGTGGAG